TGAGGGATGGTTTGCGGGGGGGCGTGGGATTGAACAGGTCTGAGGGCGTTCCTTCTATTTTTGGTTCATGCACGGAGGCCTCGTTGATATTTCGAAGAGGCGGTTATTTGAAGGGGGGTTGGGGTTGGCGCGCGAGGTTGCTCTTCAAGTGTGCTTGCTGCAGGCAGTCTTCGTTGATGCGCTCGGTGGCGATGCGCTGCGCCGTGGCGCTGGGCCTGAGTCCCCTCAACAAGGGCCAGGATGGCGTTTCCAGTGCGGATAAGGTGAACGCCGTTGCGCAAAGGGTCGCACAGTTTCGCTGGCTCACCTCCGATGAGATCAGCACGGCGAGTGCAAATTTCCTGGCCGAGCTGGGCATCATCTCGGATGTGAAAAAGCAGCAGCGGGACAAGAGGACCGTCGACCGAGTGTTTGGCGGGCTGACCGTTCTGCAGTCGGGTGTTCTCCGCTAGTTGGACCCGTCGTCTGGCGCGTCGTTGCGACCGGCTCCGAGCGCGTGGGTGCAGAAGGCCAGCGCCACAGATGACCGCGGGCAGGAGGCCGCGTGGGGCAAGGCCTCAGCGGAGGGGGAGGCTGCGACGTGGAACGCTGCCTGTAGGGTGTGATGGAACCGACGCGCTGTGTTCGCGTGAAAGACGGGGATGCGTTTTTGCTGGAGGTCCAGCGCGAGTTTGGCGGCGGTGGGCTGTTGGCAGACTCGCATGCTTTCTCGCGTAAGCGTCCGTCCGTCGAGCTTTCCAGGCACATGGGTGAGTTGGAAGACCGCGTGTTCCATTAGGTATTCTGAGTGGCGTGCGGACATCGCGCGCGACATCCGCTTGAAGTGCAGCGGGCGCAGGTCTTTCTGTCGCGCGCGATGGGCAAGCCCATGCGCCCGTCGTGCCAGGAGCGCCTCGTTCTCAAGGGTGACCAAATTCGTTAGTTCAGCTACAATAAAAAGAACTGCGGGAAGTTGCATGGCATGCTGCCCTTGGCGATAGGGATGTCCATGGTGCTGGTAGACCATGTGGACCAATCCGCTGAGATGCAGCTGCTGCGAGGGCGACTGGGGCGCATCGTTGAACTCGTCGTGGAAGCGGAGGATTCGACGATTTGCGGCGTTGCCGGGCGGCAGTTGCACGGTTTCCTCGTCATTGTTCTTGTGGACTTTGGCACGGCAGAGTGGATTTTGGAGGGCAAGAAGGAGAGAGGTGGTGCCCAGTTTTTTCAGACGCGTCGGACGTGATTCATTAACAACTTCAAGAAGAAACTGTTACTGGCATTGGAGGGGTGGCAGGGCCCTGCGGCCTCAGCCCGGGCCTGCGCGGCGCCTGCAGCGCAGGGGGCGTCCGAGGACGCCGTGGTGGCGAACCTGAAGGTCGGTCGAGGCGCGGGCGGCATGTGCAGGTGCGTCGCGATCACGAGGGTGACGCAACGGAACGGGCCGTTGATTTGGCGTCATTTTCGCGGGGGACGTGCGCTGAGGGCGCGCTGCTCGGCGCGAGTTTTCGAGGGGGGCCCGTAGGGACTGGGCCCAATTCGGGAGGGGCCATCTGCCACTGCCGAGACGAGCGTGCGCGGATTGGCGGCGCGACGAATTTCAAGTTGGAGTTTGGAGAACATCGGGGCAGGAAGGGCGGTGGGATGCGAAGGGTGCGCGAAGAGTCTGCTTGATGGACATGGCGGCGCGCGCGGTGTTGAACGTGCGCTCAGAGGAAGTTGGAGCTGGGCTGCCGCGCCGAGCGCGGCATGACAACCTTTCGCACCAGGTCTTGCGCTGCGTGCTAGTCGCAGAAGGCGCGGGTGAAGGGGCGAAGCGCGCGGCGTGGAAGCGATGCTCGGAGGCTGGAGCGGAGAACAGCGTGCGGCAGCGGCGCATCGGTGCGTCGCGCGTGACGGTATCGGGCGAAAGCTCGGGGAGATCGGATGCCGCGGGGCGTGGCAGGAAGAATCGCGAATGATAAATGCAAAGACTGCGCGTGGAACGGTGAAGCGATAGCAAATGCGGTTAATGGGGCGAGAGCAGACGCAACCGCCGTGTGGGAGTTGCAGCGCGCTGATTGTGGGCGCAGGTTCCCATTGGCAACCGCGCAATTTCGCGCGGGGCGCAAGGCGCGGCAAGCTGTGCTGTGGCGACTGTCGGGGGTGCAGGGCGCGTCGTTGCATGCGGCGCCTTATTTTCACGGCGTCTTGGTTAGCTGCCTTTCGGAAGCTGCCAGATGCGACCTTCCTGGGCGCTCGGGGCGCTCGGGGCGCCGAGTCAGGCGCGCGTTGCTGCGGGGCAGGAAGGGGGGGAGTGGCAGGGGGATGAGAGATGAGGGAGCTCCTTCGGAGAAACTGGGTGCGCTGGCAGTGAAGAGCAGCGGTGGCGTCGAAGGTCGTTGAATGCGGCGACTCGTCGGCAGAGACTGCTTGGTCGCAGGCTCGTGGAAAACAGCAGTGCGCGGCCTTCCACGGGGGTGCGGAGAGAAAGCGTTGAATTTAGGGGTGCCGCCCATGATTGGTGAGGGCAGGGAGGTGGGGCAGGACCAGAGGAGGAGGCAGGAAAAAATGAAATGGGCAGGTGATAGATGCGCAGCGGCAGCAGGAACAGGAGTAGGAGAAGGAGGAGGATGAGGAGAAGGGGGATCAGTGTAGTAAGCCCAAGAGCCATCAACGATGTTGGAATACACCCTCCGTCAAACTCCCTCTGCATAGGCCCCGTGTAATGGTTCATTTCCATTGGGGGATTTGTCTCGTTGGAAGGCAGCCGTTTGAAGACCCGGAAGTATGCAAAAAAATCGTTTTTGGGATTTCAGCGCCACGGATGAACCTGACTGGTGCGTCTTGACAATCCTGGATCGTGCGAGAACGCATTCTTGGGATTCCAACACCGCGAATCAAGGTAACTGTTGCGCCCGCAAAATCTTGAATCCTTTCGAAACCATTTCATGTACGTTGTTCGTGGCAGCCGGTGCAACTGTTGCAACTTTTATGAACGAGTGTGCGCGGCACTAACGTGATAACCACATTGTGAACATGAGACGCCCTCAATTCGTGAAATTCTTGCACATTTTGAAATCCGTATATCCTTAATTCGTGAAGCTCTTGTATATTTTTAGAGCGAAAGTGCGTGGCGCTCAGGCGAGAGCCGCATTTAGGAAACGGGTTATTTTCAATCCGGGAAGCTCTTGCAAGTTTTCAAAAAGAATGTGCCCAGCGCTCAGGCGAGAATCACACTCTGAAAACGGGTGATCCTCAATCCGCGAAGCTCTTCTTGCAAGTTTTGAAAACGAACGTGCGCGGTGCTATGGCGATAGCCACATTTTGAAAACCACCCGCCCTCCATTTTTGATTTTTTTTTGGGAAAAGGCGTGGAGGAGGAGGAGGAGGACGAGGACAAGGACGAGGAGGAGGAGGAAGAGGAGGAAGAGGAGGAAAATGAAAAGGGGGAGGGGGACGAGGGGGATGGAGAGAAGGTGGATGATGAGGATGACGAGGATGATGATAATGATGCTGATGATGCTGATGATGATGCTGATGAGGGTGCTGATGCTGCTGCTGATGATGATGCTGCTGCTGATGATGATACTGCTGCTGCTGCTGCTGAGGCTGGGGATGATGATGCTGAGGACGATGGTGGTGATGATGATGAGGATGAAGATGATGCCGGTGGTGATGATGATAATAATGATGATGATGATGATGATGATGATGATGATGATGATGATGATGATGATGATGATTCGATGATGATGATGATGATGATGATGATGATGATGATGATGATGATGATGATGATGATGATGATGATGATGATGATGATGATGATGATGATGATGATGATGATGATGATGATGCTGATGCTGATGCTGATGATGATGATGATGATGATGATGATGATGATGATGATGATGATAGTGGTGATGATGATGATAGGGCTGATTCTGATGGTGATGAGGCTGCTGCTGCTGATGATGATGCTGATGCTGATGCTGATGCTGATGCTGATGATGATGATGATGATGATGATGATGATGATGATGATGATGATGATGATGATGATGATGATGACGATGATGATGATGATGATGATGATGATGATGATGATGATGATGATATAAGGAGGAGGAGGAGAAGAAGGAGGAGGAGGTGGAACAGGAAAAGTTGCAGGAGCAAGTCTGAGCTGTTTAGCCGTGTGCAACAGGAGCTCGAAGCTGGCACGATTCCTGTATGTAAGGTCCTCTGCGAAACTGGCTTGCTCCGCCGCACGTCCTCTGAGGCCCCTCTCCCCGACGATGCCCAGGAGTCGCAGGATTCGGTTGTGTTCGAATTGTTCCCTGAGGCCTTCGGGGTTGCTGGCCTCCCTCTCCCCCCTGAGGGGAACGGGGGAATTCGGGGGAAACCTTCTTGGATGGCTCTTGTTCGAACGCCCTGTGCGCGAGCTTTCGAGATCTGGATGGGGTGTTGCGTGGCTGCACCAGCTCGGCCAGACGTCGGTTCGGATGTACAGTGCCGTTTGTAATGTGCATCCGCAGACGATCGTGGCCGCTGAATTCGTCGCTTTTTCTGCCGCCTCGTGTATTCTCAAAGACGCGGCTGAGTTTCCGTCTGATTGCAAGGTTGTCGTCGACCATTTCTTCCTGCCCCTTGCTCGGAAGCTTTCGCCGAACAGGCCGTGCAGCGGCCTTGTGATGCAGTGGTTGGCTAATGCGAATGATCGTGTTGAGGGGTCTCTAAAGTGAAGGCTCAGTTCGAAGGAGATCCCAGCCTTGCCTGGGAAGAGTGGCCCAGCATTCGCGGCAAAAGCTGTGCTGGCCAGGCGGCGAAGGCTGTAACGAGCCATCATGCGCCCCTCCCGCCAAGCCTGATGAGACCTGTCTTCTTTGGGTGTGTGTCCCCGAGGCTGTCGCCAACCTTGCCGCCCACCTCCTGGACCTCTGGCCCAGGACCAACGTGGACGGAGTGTCTTGGGACAGTCGCGCGCCTTTTGGGCCTTCTCGGGATCAGGTTCCCGTGCACCCCTGACCTGGGTTGGCAAGTTCTGGCAGTGTAGCGAGTGCCTCAAAGGCTCTCGTTCCCTTTGAAGTCTCCGCCTGGGAGGTGTGCGTGCAAGCTCAAGGTTTCGCCACAGGCTGCGCGACCTTGGCCATAAATGCATCGTTGCGGACTGCAGCGTTGGCAGCTTTTTTTGCTTCTGCCCGCTGTGGTGCTTCTACACGTCTGGAGGGCGCCGGCGTGGCTTGGGGGGCCCTTGCCAGGCCCGACCCTCCTCCTGTGCGCCTGCGCAGGCAGATGGAGGCCCTGCGGACAAGAGCTGGTCCTCTCACCATGCCCGCAGAAGTGAATTATTATCCAAACTCAGCAGAAGACTCCATCCGACCACGAAAGGGGCCACAATAGATTTAGACGGCACCGAAGTATGAGAATTCTGTCCGCCTGACGTGTCATTGGCCGCGGATGTCAAAACAATATTTCGCCTCTTTCCTTATCTCTGTCGCTCTCTTGCTCATCCTTGATCTCCTGATCCTTCTCGTCTTCTTCATTTCCTTCCTTCTCCTCCGCCTCCATCTTCCTCCGCCCCCCCTTTTTCCTTCCCCCCTCCCCCTCGTCTCCCAGTCTCTTCCCACTTCTTCTCCTCCCCAGGCCCTCTTTTTCCTCCGCCCCTCCCGCCCCTTTCCCTTCTCCTGCCAGCTGTGAGCGTCGGGTCCACACCGTTGCCGCCGCCCCTTCCAGCAGCTCTTGCGAAGACCGGCCCGGAAACTCCTCGGGCAGAGCCCCCGGGCGCTCCAGTGTCCTGCGGGCGCGCATGGAGCAGACGTGCTCGATCTGCGGCTCCGCCCTGGACCCTTCGCGCTGGCTGCAGGCCTGTCGAGCTTTCTCTCTATATCCTGCTTTCCTCCTCCTGCGTTATCCCCGAGGAGGGACTGGATGGGGGAGGGAGGAGCAAGGCACAGGCCAAGGGAAGGGGAGGTCGAGGTGGAGGAGGAGGACGAGGACGAAGAAAGGGACGAGGGGGAGAAGGAGAAGGAGAAGGAAGAGGAGAAGGATGAGGAGAAGGAGAAGGGGGGAGGGGGAGGGGGAGGGGGAAGATGAGGAGCAGTTTCCCTCGTAGCGAATGCCGTAAGGGCTTTAAAAGATAGCAAGAGGGACCTGTCAGAAATCCCACATAGGGGACGGGGATTGGTAGGAGACCGTACTCCTGGTGTCGCCGTTCCGCTTGAGTTTAAGACCGCAAAAGAGTCCCACAGCGAGGACGGAGAGGTATGAGACCTGACTCCCAGAATCGTCGTTTCGCTGGATCTGTTCACACTTTAGGGCCACAGCGGTAGTGTAGGACCACGGACCACCAGAAAGAGTCCCGCAAGGGGGGACGGAGAGAGGTAGGATACCAGACTTCCAAAATCGCCGTTTCGCTGGAGACTTCGTCACGATTGAGGACTGCGCCTGAGACCTCCTCATGTTTTATTCAGGTATCGTGCTCTCGCCTCCAGCTCCATTTTTGGTCTGAACGGCCACGGTCCCTTGCAAGAAAATACAGTAGAGAGCACGTAGCTGTGCTCGCCGTGTTCTTCCTGCTCTCTGTGCTGCCAGAACTTCATTCCCGCCTACGGTTTTTACACAACAGAGCACGCTCTACCTGCCTTCTGGATCTTCATGTTGCCAGACATCTATTCCCGTGAACGCTTCTCGTGCAACAGTGAACACTCTGCCGCACTTCGTGCGTTTCCTAGGGATCCCGAGGGATATATATATATACATATATATATATATATATGTATATGAATATATATATATATATATATATATATATATATATATATATGTGTATATATATATATATATATGTGTATGTGTAGGACTGCACGTTTCCACTAGCCGACCTACTCCTCGACACGCCTCTGAATATATGCTGCTGTTACGGTGCTCTGATGGGGTATATTTTCCTCGCTTTCCTCTGTCTTTCTTCTTCTGCACGCCCCAACTTCCCTCCCTCCTGCTCATCTTTCTGCTTCTCCCCGCTTTTCTCATTATCCCCCCATCTCCCTCCTTGTCCCCTCCCATCCTGCCCTCCCCTCCTCCCCTCCTGGCGATCCCGTCCCCTCCTCCCCTCCTCCCGATCCCGTCTCCTCCCCCTCTCCCCTCTCTTCCTCCTCCGCGTCCTGTCTCCGTTGCCCTCGCTGTGTACGCCTCCAAGGTTGAGGCGCCATGCGGGCACCGCTTCCACTTCGTATGCGGCCGCCAGCAGCTGGCGAGTGGGCCGGGTGGGGGGGGGAAGGAGGAGGAGGAGGAGGAGGAGGAGGAGGAGGGAGGAGGAGGAGGCGGAGCAGGAGGAGGTGGAAGAGGAGGAGGAGGGATGTTGACGACGACGATGACGACGACGATGATGATGATGCTGCTGCTGATCATGATGATGATTCTGATGCTGATGATGATGACGATGATACTGATAATGATGATGATGATGGTTGTGGTGATGGTGATGCTGATGACGATGACGATGATGCTGCTGCTGATGATGATGATGATGACGGTGGTCCTGGTGATGGTGATGGTGATGATGATGTTTATGTTGATGTAGTTGTTGATGCTGATGATGCTGATGATGACAACGACTCTGACGATGATGATGCTGCTGATGATTATGATGGAAATGCTGATGATGATGACGATGATGATGCTGATGATGCAGATGATGCAGATGATGCTGATGATGATGGTGATGAGGATGCTGATGATGCTGCTGCTGACGATAATTATGATGATGCTGATGCTGATGACGATGATGCCTATCTCGATGATGATGCTGCTGCTGATGGTGATAATGACGATGCTGCTGCTGCTGATGATGCTGATGGTGATGATGATGCTGATGGTAATGATGCTGCCATTGATGATGATGCTGATGCTGATGATGCTGATACTGGTGCTGATGATAATGATGATGATGATTATGATGATTTGATTTGATGGTGATGATGATCATGCTAATGATGACACTGATGATTACGTTGCTGATGATGATGCTGGTGATGGTAATGCTGATGATGCCGTTGATTCTGATTATGATGATGCTGTTGATGCTGATGCTGATGCTGATGTTGAGGATGTTAATGATGATGACGATGCTGATTATGATGCTGATGATGCTGCTGATGATGATGCTGATGATGTTGATGATGATGATGATGTTGATGATGCTGATTATGCTGCTGCTGATCATGTTGATGAAGATGAGTATGAAGTTGACGATGATGATGAAGATGATGATGAGGATGCTGATGCTGCTGATGATGATGATGCTGCCGCTGATGATGATGATGCTGATGCTGATGCTGATGCTGATGCTGCTGCTGCTGCTGATGATGATGATGATGATGATGATGATGATGATGGTCGTGGTGGTTGTGGCGGTGTCTGCGGTGATGATGATTATGCTGCTGCTGATGATGATGATGATGATTTTGATGCTGATGCTGATGGCGATGCTGAGCATGATGCTGCTGCTGCTGATGATGATCTTGATGTTAAGGATGTTGCTGCTGATGATGCTGATGTTGATGATGATTATGAGGAGGAGGAGGAGGAGGAGGAGGAGGAGGAGGAGGAGGAGGAGGAGGGAGGACGAGGAGGAGGAGGAGAAAGAGGAGGAGGAGGAGGAGGAGGAGGAAGAGGAGGAGAGGAGGAGGAGAGAGGAGGAGGAGGAGGAGGCGGAGGAGGAGGAGGAGGGGGGAGGAGGAGGAGGAGGAGGAGGAGGAGGAGGAGGTCCGTAGCCATTTTGGCTCAAGGTTAATCGTTGTGAAGGGTTGTAGCTGCCCGAGAGTCGGCGATTAACTTTTGGCCTGTGCGTGGCCAATTCTCACGGCCTTTGGCTTGCAGTCTTTGCGCTCACGATCCCCACGGCAGCGCTCGGGCGCTGTGGGCTCTCTTCAGGCATCACTCCACTTGCTGCGAGACTCGCCGTGCAGACAGGATGCATACAGTGGACGCTTCGCATGCTGCTCGGCTCGCGGAGGAGATCGACGCACTGCCGACGTTCCCCGATGCAGATCGGATGGAGCGCAGCCGCTCACCCGGACTCGAAGACGCTGACGGCGACGCCTGTGCCTCGGCGGAGGAGGGCGAAGCCTGCCCTCGCCAGCCTCGTCGCACGGGCCGCAGCACTTCTGGTGTGGATGACGGTCGCCCTGGTTCCAGCTGCACGCGGGCCTGTGCAGCGAGCTGCAGTGCCACCCCGTGCAGGCCCTGCCGGATCCGCCCGCCCTGCCCGTCGTGCCCCGCGTGGCGGTCGAGCCGAGGGCCCCGACGTCGGAGCCCTGCGTGCCTGTGTGGATGACACTACGGACGAGCTGCTCTCCGCCATCAGCGCCATACAATCATCGGTTGCGGCCTTGGCTTCTACGGTCCAGAACATCCGCTCGGTGCTGGGGCGCCGGGCGGAGACTCGGACGGGGAAGGCAGGGGCCACGCAGTCCGATCAAGCGAATGTCATTAAGTCTCCCGACGCGAATGTCAGCCAGCGTTGACTCCAAATAGATCTAGACGACTCAAATCAAGGAACCAGAGGAATCAGGCACGCTTGGAATCCGCAACTCAGCAAGCAAGCAAGCGTGCACGCAAGCGCGCAAACAAACAAGCAAGCAAGCGTGCAAGCGCGCAAGCAAGCAATCAAGCAAGCAGGCAATCAAGCAGACAAGCAAGCACACACGCAAGCAAGCAAGCAAGCAATCACGCAAGCAGGCATAGGCATAGACGTAGACGTAGGAGAGGCATAGGCATATCCATAGGAATTAGGGGAGGGGGAGGTATAGGAATTTTTGGGGCAACGGACCATTGAGTAGGGTTTGGGCTAGGACTGCTACAGGGCAAGCTTATTTGGAGAAGATCACCCATGTGCAGCAGGAACTCAGCATCTTGCGCACAGAGACTCCCACGAAGCTGGAGGTCAACACGTCTTTCCAGAAAGATACCGATCCCACGATCATCATATGCCGTACGGAGACCGTGGTCTCGAATGCCAACCTTACCGAGTGTATTCGTCCATGGATGGGGTCTTCTAATGACTGTGGCGAAAGAGATTTTGACGTGGTCGCGGATCCCACGCCCAAGCGTTTCACGATGCAGTTCAGGGGCGCCCCGACTTATGCGAGCTGCAAGGTCAACATGTGCTTGTCCCAGCTCAAGCTTGGCCCCGACAACCGTGTCCAGGTGGCCGCCGAAGTCCATGCCCCTAACAACTCGGTCCCAGCTCAAGCCATGCCGTCGAAGTCCATGTGTCCGCCGACAAATCATTGAACCAGGTCAAGGTTGAACTTCTTCTCAAGCAGTTGCGGCGGGCGATCAGCGACCAGTACCCGTCCATGGAGCTGTTTGCCAACAAAGCCCGTGGGGAGCTGCCTCACCGCTGGAAGCCGCTGCTGCGCGTCATCCCGAGCGCGAGCGCGGATCGCAAGATGGAGTGGGCGCTCGCGAAACTCCGCGAGCTCAACGTGGACACGGGCAGGGTCGCGCAGAACATCCATCAGCACCCCTCGAACACGCAGGAGGCCGACTGGAGTCTTTGACACCTTTTTGGCAATGGCGAGGGACGTTGCCGACGCATGTGGGTCTTTCTTGCTCGTAATGGAACGCGAGGGCGTGTTGCCATCGCAACCTGCGGCTGAGAGACCGCAAGTTGCGCTACCTGTCTAAGCTTTGCTCTCCTAGTTCAATAGTGTGTGTTCAGGAGTCACACGGATATCGGTATCGGGTTGATAAGTATCTCATAATCTGCACCATTCAGTTTTGGCCGCATCTTCGGTCCCAGGCTCTGAGCCTGGTCACCCAGCGGTGGCGTTATCACATCATTCCCTAACTTCCGTGTTCTCCATCGGCCTCATCTCCTTCATGTTTCAGAAGGAGCGCTGGTAGAGGATAAGTTTCTCCTTGTGTAGTTGAGTATTCAGGAAAACGTTCCCTGGTCCAGGCTGTCTGCGGCTGCTCGGGACCTTGGTCCTGGACGTATCCGTAGGGGTTTCGAGGAAACTGACCGAGTCCCTCTCCGAAAGCTCGCTGTCGTTCACGGGGGTCTGGACATCGCGAGCAATACGCCCGTGATCCCGAATCATTTCTCCCCCGATATCGGCTCCCTGGACCCTGAGGCCTCTGGAGCTGGACCACATGAGCCCTCTCAGGGTTCCAGGAGGACCTCCTGCAGCGCCTGGGACGAGGTGCTGAAATCCTTCGTGGGGCTCGATAGCGAGGATTTCACACACTTCCATGCAGGAGCTCAGACTCCTGCGAGGATCGATGGGGCTTTCGTCTGTTGGCCTGGGTGGAGCCTCGCCCAGTTGAGTACCGTCACGCGGGCGCGCGGCCTCCCTGATATCCTCAACCGTTCCAACCTCTCCAACCACAACGCTCTCGTGTTCTCGAGCGCTCCCCGTAAACCCTTACCTCCCGAAGACAGGCTGGTGCGCCCTGACATTGTTGGTACGCCCGAGTACGACAGCTATATCGAGACTGTGCTGGAGCAGTCCTCGTGCGAGGACTTGTCGGTGCCGCTGCGTTTGGAGTACCGCAGGATGGTGATGAAGGAGACAGCCTGATTCGCAAGGGACTCGATCGTCGTGAAACGCCCACTGGAATCACTATCGCAAGACATTGTGTGTCGCTCGATCGCCATGGCCCTGTGGAAGCGGGATCGTTCGTTGGCTGTTTGTCTCGTTCTAGCCCATCCTCTCGCTCGAGAGCATCTGGTACTGCCTGCTTCCGACACTTCTGTGGAGCTGAATGACCCATTTAGGTTCATTCAGCAATCGAATGATATCCACATGCGCCTGATTGCGGACTCCCAGAAACGGGCCAAGGCGCAGATTTGCGAGGGTGCCCCAGCCCGTGCCCGAGCCAACCTTGTACGCAAACTTTGGAGTCTGGAACGCCGTGGGAAGCTATGGTTGCCCTATTGGCGCAAGCTCGGCCTTGCTGGCCTCTGACCCCCCCAACGGGCGCATCACCCACAACCCCATAGTCATGCTTTAAGGTGTGGCTCGGCACTTGGGGGAAGTGTTGTCGGAGAAACCCATCGATGCTGTTGATGATAAGTGTTATGTTCAGAAGTTCATGGATGATATCGACTTCTCTTACCTCACCCCCCCACAGGGTATGATCTTAGCCGTCATCTTCGACAGTGCGTTCCAAGTGCCCCAGGGCCCGATGGGCTCCCCTCTACAAGGCTTTGCAGTACCGCCCTGAGGGCCCCAACATGCTCGCTGACGTCAAGCATTGGATGCTAGAGGGAAGCCCCATGGGGCTCGACTTCAACGATGTCCGTGCTGTCTCTTTGGCGAAAAGCGGCTCAGACGGCACGTAGCCCGGAGGCGCAGCTCCCACCGCCTCCTCCCCGTCAGACGGATCGGATGACACGTTTGGGGCCCCCGCTGCAGCGGGATGGCTGCCGTTCGATGAGCAGAGGAGCGTGCGGAAAACGTCGGTGCACGCGTGCCAACACCCGACAACGCTGCCAGCATCGGTGTGGAGCGGTGGACGTCGTACGAAGACCTCACTCTGCTTTCCTTTCCTTGCGCGCGAATTTAAGGGAGGCGGAGCGTTGAGGAGGAGCAGCAGGAGGAGGAGGAGGCGGGACGAGGGGGGATGATGATGATCATGATGATGCTGCTGATGATGATGAGGACTATGATGAAGATGATGATGATGATGATGATGATGATGATGATGATGATGATGATGATGATGATGATGATGATGATGATGATGGTGATGGTGATGATGATGATGGTGTTGTTGTTGATGATGATGCTGATGATGATAATGCTGCTGATGATGATGATGGTGATGCTGATCATAATGAAGGTGATGATGATGATAATGATGATGATGATGATGATGATGATGATGATGATGATTATGATGATGATGAGGTTGAGGAGGAGGAGGAGGAAGAAGAGGGTGCAGTGGCGGATGGGTACATCCGATATTCAATAATTCATCAGTTCTTCCTGTTCTTCCGCACGAGTTCTGACTCTACATCGCCGTGCGAGCCAGGAGCCGGTGCCGATAACCTTGTGAGCAACGTGTCGTCAGCTGCTTTCGCTGTTTGCTATTGACAGGTGGATGGCAGAGGTGGAGTAAGTGGAAGAGGTGAAAGATGACAAAAGGGTCGGTTGGTTGGCTGATGAGGTGGATGGGAAGGTTGGTTGGGTTGATTGGGCAATCTTCGCCAACACAACCTGATGACGATTCGGGGGTGTCGCAGATTCAGCGACAGCCCATGAGGAGGATTTGGAGAATGGTGGAGCGGGATGAATCGGAAAAGGTGGATGACGAGGAGGAGGAGGATGAGGAGGACCAGTGTATGCAATACACCCATCTTCGAAGTTTCCCCTCCATGGGTCCGTACAATAATGCATCTTTATTATTGTAGGAAATGGCCAATTCGAAGACAACCGTCTTATAATCCTCAATCGTGCCACAAGACGATCCCTGGGACTACAACGCCGCGGACCCACGTGACTGTTGCGTCCGGACAATCTTTCATCGTGCCGCACACTGTTCCTGGTATTTCAACACCGCGCATCAACGTGACTGTTATAAGTACTGGCGATCCCAAATTAGCCAGGAGTTCATTTATCCGAATCTTTGGCGCTGTTGCAAGCTTTCTAAGACGAGTGTGCGCGGCGCTAATTCGAACTACATCTAGAATACCACCCGCCCTCCTCCATCCGTGAAGTTATTGCGCATTCCAAACTTCAGGATCATTAGTGCCAACCGACACTGTTGTGAGACGCGACAAGAAGGAGTTACTTGTTAGGACCAGTGATGGCGGAGGAGGAGGCGGATGATGATGATGATGATGATGATGATGATGATGATGATGATGTTGATGATGATGATGATGCTAGTGCTGCTGCTGATGATGCTGATATGATGATGTTGCTGATGATGATGATTATGCTGATGCTGATGATGATGATTATGATGATGATGATCATGATGACGATGATGATGATGATGATGATGATGATGATGATGATGATGATGATGATGACGATTATGATGCTGATGATGATGATGATGATGATGATGATGATGATGATGATGATGATGATGATGCTGATGATGCTGATGATGATGCTGATGCTGATGCTGATGATGATGATGATGATGATGATGATGATTATGACGATGATGATGATGATGATGATGATGATGATGATGATGACGATTATGATGCTGATGATGATGATGATGATGCTGATGAATATGATGCTGCTGCTGATGATGATGGTGATAATGATGATGCTGTTTGATGATGATGCTGATGATGATGGTGATGACGATGCCGATAATGATTATGACGATGATGGTGACGCTGCTGCTGATTATGATGATGGTGATGATTATGATGCTGATACTGCTGCTGCTGATGATGATGACGATGACGATGATGATGATGATGTTGTCGATGATGATGATGATGATGTTGATGATGATGATGATGATGATGATGATGATGATGATGATGCTGATGATGCTGATGATGATGCTGATGCTGATGCTGATGATGATGATTATGATGATGATGATCATGATGACGATGATGATGATGATGATGATGATGATGATGATGATGACGATTATGATGCTGATGATGATGATGATGATGATGATGATGATGATGATGATGATGATGATGATGATGATGATGATGATGATGATGATGATGATGATGATGATGATGATGATGATGATGATGATTATGATGATGATGATGATGATGATGATGATGATGATGAGGCGGAGGAGGAGGAGGAGGAGGAGGAGGAGGAGGAGGACGAGGTGAAGGAGAGGTGGTCGGTCAGGCCGCGCCTTGTTGTGCCTCCGGACGCTCGATCGCGCCCTCTCGTTCCTCTCGCCCTGGCACTGGCCACGACAGGAAAGCCCCCCTCCAGGAGAAGAAGGGGACATGGGAGAGAAGAGGATCCAGTCGGCCTCCGCCGCCGCTGGGAGGCGCCGCGCCGGGAAGCGGCAGCGACCACCTTGGAGTGCGCCGCCTGCGTGGTGCGCCAGCGCATCTGGGCAGGCAGGAACTGGGCAAGGGGTGGCAGAAGGGGAGGTGTGGGGCAGGAGGAGGAGGAGGAGGAGGAGGATGAGGAGGATGTTGCAAAAACCCTCCCTGCAAGTTCCTTGAACTTGTACTCTTTGCGGAGAGCGCCCCGTTAGAAACACCAACCGTTTGTGATTCCTTAATCGTGCCAAAACACCAGTCCTGGGACGGCAGTGCCCCAAATCAACGTGATTGTTGCGTGCAAGCAATCCTTTACCGCGCCAGAGCCCCATTCCTAGGACTTCAACACCGCGATTCAACGGGACTGTTGCATCTTGAGAGTCCCGAATCGTGCCAGAACGCCGTTCTTGGGACTTCAACCGTACGCATCCTTGATACGGTTGCAAGCTGCTAAGACACATGTTCGCGGCGCTACAGCGAGAGCCACATTTTGAAAAAGGAACCACCATCTGTCCTTGAACTTGCTGCAAGCTTTAAAGACGAATGTGCGCGGTGCCAGGGCGAAAACCGCATTTTGAAAACCCGCCCATCGTCCTTGAAACCGACGCAGACTTTCAACACACGTGTGCAGCGCCGAGGCGGGAGCCATATTTCTAAACATCAGCCGCCCTCCAGACCTAAAAACTGTCTCAAACTTTGCAGCCACATGTGCGTGGCGCTAAAGCGACAGCCACGTTTTGGAAACGGCCGTCCTACATCGGTGAACTTGGTTCACACTTGAGACTTCAAATGTGCGCGGCACTGTGGCGAGAGCCACATTTGAGAACCACCTGCCCTCCACTCGCGAAGCCTGTGCACAGTTCAAGCCTCAGGATCATCAGTTGTGAGGACGTCCGAGGCGAAACGTCCTGCCTCCCGACGAACACGGCTGGGGGTGCGACAGGGAGGAGTTATTCATAATGACAAGGGGTGGAGGAGAAAGGGGAGGATGAGGAGGAGGAGGAGGAGGAGGAGGAGGAGGAGGAGCGGGAGGACGAGGACCAGGAGGAGGAGCAGGAGGACGAGAACCAGGAGGAGGAGGAGGAGGTGGAGGAGGTGGAGGATGAGGAGGAATGGGAGGAAGTGGGAGGGGGACGAGGAGAGGGAGGAGAGGCGACGTCGTAGAACAGGTGGGAAGGAGCAAGGAGCACTGAAGAAGGAGGAGGCCTGATGAAGACTCAGGCATGAAATATTCAAAGTGGAGCGTTAAGGATGGATGGGAAGAGGTAGGAACGAGGGCTGTCGGGCACGAGTGAGGAAGGCGTAAAGAGAAGGATTCACATGAGAGAGGTGTGAACAAGCAGGGGGGAGGAGCGAGGAACGAGGAGAGGTGTGGATGAGGAGATACGGTGAAGGAATGTGACCAGAATGCGGAGGACGTCGGAAGGAGGGGAGCGAGGGCATAGTGGGGAGGATTGTTTGTTGACTCGACTGAGGGCCTGGCATAAGCGTACTTACGAAGCGGCAGAGGGAGAGATGAGAGAGGATGGTAGGTGGAGGGACATGTATGGAGGCTGCAAGGGTCCCGGACCGAACCTTGCCTCTACTAGCTTGAGCTGCCGAAGCGACCGTACGCATTTCATCCCAGCTCTCTAAGCGCATCTGGCTCGAAAGAAGGGCGGGGGGGGGAGGGCGGCGCTGCGGGCCCCAGAATCGGTGACTTCATGGTCTTCCATATGGTCTCCCGTACGGTTTCCCGTATGGTTTCCCGTCTGGTCTCTCGTATGTTTGGTTTTCATGGTCTCCCGTATGGTCTCCCGTATGGCCCCCCTGTGCATGCTTTCCCGTACGTATGGTCTCCCGTATGTGCGCTCCCCCGTTTGGTCTCCCATGTGGCATCCCGTATGATCTCCCACATCGAGTCGCCCGTATGGTCTTCCATGGGGTCTCCTGAATATTTGCCCGTATGCTCTCCCGTATGGCATCCATCTTGTGTCAACAGTGCAGTTCATACGCCGCATGGGTTTTGCAAACCGAGTTGCGGGTGGGTGGGTGGGATGATTGCAACGGCATGGGATTTGTCAGCTCATTTGTAAAAACCAAATGCACCGCATAGGTTGCACCACAATGATTACGCAGGACCAAAACCAATAACTCGAACTCCTACCCGCGCCAACGCCGACACCAAGGAGTCCTTCGTCCCTCCCCCATCCTCTCCCGCACCGACACGCACGAGCATACCGTGCAACACGCCGGCATCGACCTCCAGGACCTTCCTCCCCCCTTCCTCCCTCCAGTTTTCTTATACATGTGTCTCGCAATGCATGTGGTCCAGGCGTGCCAGATTTCTGAGGCCAAAGCCTTGTCCACCTGGTCTTAGCTAGGCCTGGACGATGTCCGCACTGGTGGTCGTATCGCATCGTACAAATTCTACCACATACACTTCGCGACTAGTGCGCGCAACGTTGATTGCACCACGTTGACTGAATAACATGGACTGCGCCACATAGCTCGCACTATATATATGTATATGTATGTATGTATGTATGTATATATATATATATAATTCTTGTACCACGTAGAGAGCACCACGTATACTGCACCACGTAGATAGCATAGTACACACATAAATACATATATATATATATTTATATATTTATTTATATATATGTATGCATTGCACCACATCTATTGTGCCGCTGTGCCGTGTAGATGTCACAACATATATCCCAGAGGCTTGCGCCATTCCGCCGACCCCCCAGAAAGAATTGGGGAGAAGTTCACGGGTGGGGGGCGTGGTGAGTTTTTGGGTCTCTGTTTCGGGGCTTATGGGTGGCATGTTCTGGACCTCGTGGGTGCTTTGCGGGGCCTTGTGGAGGCATTTTGGTCGCTTGCTCGTGGGGCGGGTGTCTCCTGGTGACTTCTTGGCTGTTTTGTACGCCGGTGAGACCTCTGGGGGCCTGTGTTGAGGCCTCTTGGGAGCTTTTTTAGACTTATTCGGAGCCTGGTGGGGGCCTTCTGGGGCCTCTTGGGGGCCTCTCTGGTGCGTCTTGAGGCCTCCTGGGCGCAGCTTGGAGCGGAGAGCTGGAGCTGTCGTTTACCTTCGTGGGCCCCGCTTTGGGGCACCTTGGGGCGTTCTTAGTCTGCGTTGGGCCTCTCTTGGGCGGTCCTGAGGCTCTCTTGGGCCGTCTTGGGGCGCTCTTCGGGGCCTCTTGGGCCGTCGTGGGGGGCTTTTTGGGTTGTTTTGGGGCACGCCTGGAGCGTCTGGTAGCGATTTTCAGCGACTCGAGGCTCCCTGGACTCTCTTAACGGCCTCTTGGGGCTCTGTCGGTGCGTCCTCCAGGATACGTTGACCAGCTCGTGCCCCACCCGGGCATCCCCCCACCTCTAATGCGATGCTGAGCTCCAGGGGAGGGGGAAAGGGGGAGGGGAAGAGCCAATTGTCTCACGCGCCTCTTCCCTCCTGGCAAGCGGGGGTCGGCGGATTGTACCGCATATACTGCACCACCTATATAGCTAGAAAAACAGTTCCAGGCCCTCGCTGTGTAACACTGCATGTACAGGACAGTCCACACACTACTCTCCTTGAGTGTGATACTGCTGTTTGGGTCTTCTGCCGCCAGTGTGAATTGCGAATGGTGTCAACACGTGTTCAACCCTTGACCTAGCAGTCCGACTCATCCGAGGTGAATCAAGCACCCCCTTCAGGATGCGAAGTTGGCACAGTTTTTTGGGCACGCAACACATGTAGGATGTGCTGACAGGGTCAGGAAGGCTCTCTCAATCGATCCCTACGGGAGTTCTGTGAGGGACGACCCTCTGGCAACTTCACAGGAAGGGCCACGCCGCGGAGTCGTACAGTCGAGCGCCACCAAGCCGAAAAACTCTTCAGGAACATGTTGGACACGCAGTCTCAAGACAGCACCATGCAGCTTTAGTTGACCTTTTTGTTGGTAGCGCTTGGACATGCGAGAGGGGTGGATAGGGAGGGTACGGGAAGGAGACGTGAGGTAACTGGGAGGCGGCGGGGACGGTGGATGATGCGTAAGGGAATGGGGGGAACGGGACGATGAGGAAGCGGAGCAGAAAATAATAAAACAGTGCGATATTTGCCTCTGGGTCGATCTTGCTGTACTGCACAGTCTTGACGACAGCTTTCGCGGGTACGGCCTCCAAGCGCGACAAGGGGTCTTCGTGAGCGCGGCGCGCTTTGCCTTCAACCCGGGGAGGACGGCATCGGAGTGCGCGCTTTCGTATGTCACCATGTGTTTTTGCAGACTGCCTGGTGCAGTTGAAGCAGGCCGTGGCTGATGTGCGAGCGCGACGACAGCAGAGCTTGAGGAAACGAGCACGAGCAGGAGGAGGAGGAGGAAGAGGAGGAGGAGGAGGCGGACGCGGGTGAACATGATGAGGAAGCTTAACGGGCGATGGCTTGGGTCAGCTGGTCAGCTTTCGACTGGGGGATGGACTACAGAATGGATTTACCCCAAATTTGATTTTCACGTCGACTCTTCAACAAAAATACGTCAACCGTTCGGTGGTCTGCGGAAGTTCTACGAATTGCCCGTGGATCCGACAAGAAACATCAATTCTGGGGCACATCGATTCTGTAGTCGATCCCCTACTCGAAGCCCGCCCCCCTGGCAGTCCGAGCCAGGCTCTCATCACCTCGACCGAGGACGGGCTGGCGCTGCTGCGCCTCCGCCGCCGCAAACGGGGGTCGGAGGCCTCGCGTTGCCGGCCTGTGGTCGGAGGGCCCACGACGCATCCCACCGCGAGCTGCGCCTGTACCACATTGAGCTGTTCCCATCTCTTCTCGGCATGCCCATACTTCACCACCCACCAAACCACCCCAACCCAACCCGAAGGCCTCAATTTGCCGTCCATTTCCGGTGGGGGGGGGGGTCCGGGAACATCGACAAAAAACACATGGAGCCCGTACCCCCCCAGCCCGAAATTCGGGTCTTCGGGTTGGGTTGGGGTGGTCTGGTAGGCAGTCAATACTCGCAGCGCATGTCACCGAGTGCAGACCCGAACAGGTCACTCGGCATCCGCTTCGTGGGGGGCGCGGCGCAGCGGCTTCCTCGCGAGTCGCAGCGTTGTGCGATTCGCAGGAGGCGCCTGCTGCGTTGCGCGCGTGGTTGCGGAGATTGCAATTCCACGGGAAGCTCAAGTACCACCACCACCATCCACCAAATTGTTCACCAGTACCGTGACATCCGTAGGAACCAATGACGATAATGTGCATATCTCCCACCCCGCTGTTGGGAACCAGGGAAGGAGGGTCTGAAGGTTGTGTTGGGGGAGCTTGGCTGGGGTGGGTTGTCACCAGCTCCCAGCCAGGTTTGATTGAGCTTACATATGCCAGGGGGACCGGGACCAGGGGGCCTCCTGGTCGGGATCTGGGCCGCAAATGGGGTCCCAGGGGCTAGTTTCGCTGCCTGATCCCGACGACCGCTTCCAGGTGTGGCAAGATGGCCCTGAAGACCTCGGCCACAAGACGGCCCAGCACGCTGGGAAGACGGCCCGAGTGGATCTAAAGGCGGCCGAAGAGGCCTCCATGAACACGGAGGCCCCCAATACGCCCCGAGAGCTGTCCAAGAGAGCCCCCAAAGGGATCCTGAGAGGCATCAGCAATTTAGGTTTCAGAAGTTTTCGAAGGATATCTGCGCAATTCAGTTTTTCAGGGCTTCCAGGACGAGGCGAGAGATCAAGGAGGCCGCAGGAGGGCGCAAGAAGCCACCAAGATGGTTCCAAGACAGCCCCAATAGACTCGGCCTCGAGCGGCCCCAGACAGCTCAAGAGGGCCCAAGACAGCCTGAGAGGGCCCCAGATGGCCTGCGAGAGCGCCAGGTGACCAGGTGGCCCCAAGAGGGCCGTCTGAAGAGCTCCGAGACAGCATCAAGATGGCCCAAGTGGGCCCATTGAACTCAACCACGGCCGAGTCAGTGTTCCATCGGTAACTGGCCACACGTGCGGTACTTCTCCGCAGCGTTTGGCCACGCAAGCTTTGTCGAAAAGCAGGGAGTGGCGGTAACTCGCCGTAGGTGTCCTCGATTTCCTTCTTCCTGCTCGTCCGTCTTCCCTCTTTATTCTTCCCTCATCTTTCTCCCCTCCGCATTCTCATCACTTCTATTTCTGCATATTGCTCCTTCCACTGCTCCTTCTTTCTCCTCGCTCCAAGAGGGCTCCAGGATGGCCCTGCGAACGCCCAGAAGCGTACAAGACGGCTCCAAGAAGCCGCCCGAGGGCTCCAGGAGAGCCCTTCTTGGAACGGGGAGCTGTCTTCCCTACTTTCAGTTCCGTGGCGGCTCGCAACGTGCCCGTCGGTGGAGGGGAAAGGTATGGGACTGCAGACGAAAGCAGGCGACACTCCGTATTCCCTTCCCCCTGTCCGCCCGTGCCCCTCCCCCCCCCCCCAGAGGCCCAGCTGCCGCGCCACGCCCGGAAGGTGCCTCGGAGGGCTCCGAGGTGACCCCACGAGTTCGCCCGTGGGGCCCTGGGAGAGCGCCTGTCGGGACGGGGAGCCGTCTTCCCTCCTTGCTCCCTCCCCTGGCCCGCCCGTGCCCCCATCTCACCTGGAGGGTTCCAGAGGGGTTTTTTTGGGAGGGGGTTTTCCAGAGAGCCCCCCAGGGGGCCTCGGAACCTCGTCAAAACAGGGGGGGCGAAGCCCCTGGGGGACCCCTCCTGGAAAACCCCCTCCCCCAAAACTCCCTTTGGAACCCTCTGGCCCCCGGCGCTTGTTTGGGTGACCCAAAAGTTGAAAGGGGTCCAGCTGAAAGGGGGTGGTGCAGTAGATTTGGGGCAATTGTATTGCAAGTGCATGTTGCGCCGGAGAATTGTGTTGCATTGAGTTGCAAGTAATTGCGCTGCACGAGAGGATACAGCAACACACTCGCGCCCCGGAATGCGCTGCACGCCCCAAGTGTACTGCCGCCCCACACCTCTAGTGCACCGAATCTACTGCACCGCCCCCCTGCCGTTTCTGCCGTTTCTCGCTGAGTCAGCGTCTGTGCAGCCGGCCCAAGGCGCGGATCGCAAGCAGCGACCCCCGGAGGTCGTGCCCACGCTCGAACGACGGCCCAGGGCCCCCGACCCCGAGGAAAAACCACCCCCCTGTGCCTGGACCCCCTCTTGGGTCACCCCCGGCGCTTGGCTGCCGCACCCCCCCCCCCTCCGCACTGCTTCACCCGCCGGGCGGAGGTCCGCCGAGTGCTCCGGCGAGATCGACCGCGGCGCGCCCACGGACGTCGGCCCCCCGAGCGAAGGGGGGGCAGGACGAGGAGGGGCTGTGGGGGGCGGGCGAGGGGGCGAAGGGCACCAACTATACACCAACACCGATCCTGGCCCAGGATCACCCTGGGCCCAGGATCGGCGTATATGCCTTCTTGCACAAGGCAGGAGGGCGTATGCACCGATCCTGGGCCCGGGGTGATCCTGGCCAGGATCGGTGTTGGTGTATAGTTGGTGCCTTCCTAGAGGGGGCGAGGGGGGGGCTCCTCCTCATCGGGCCGAGCGAAAGACGGGGGGGATAGGGAAAGGGGGGGTTACGAAATCTGCTGCATGCGGCTGGTTTCGGCCCCGCCGCCGGGCCCATTCCTCGATGCATGTGCGCCTCCCGGCGCCGGGAGGCGCTGGGAAAATCAGCCACGTGAGCTGATTCTTTACCCTACCCTTTGCTATCCCCCCCTTTCGTTCCCCTCGCTCCTTCCTCCTCCTCCTCCGCCTCCTCCTCCCAGGCAAGTGTATCCTCCGAGCCGCTTTCTTTTTGCCTTTCTCTTTACCCACCCCAGTGGGGTCTCCGTCGAGCCGCTTTCTTGTTGCCTATCCAGGTGGGGTCCTTGGACGTTGAGGGGCAGCAGGGGAGGGGGGCGAGAAGGTGCAGCGGAGGCCGGAGGGGGGGCGAGGGCGAGCGCGGATGGGGCGGCGGAGGAGGGAGGGAGGAGGGAGGAGGGAGGAGTGGGGAGGGGGGAGGGGGGAGGGGGAGGGGAGGAGGGGGAGGAGGAGGGGGAGGAGGAGGAGGGGAGGGAGAGGGGGCAACCTGGGCAGGCCGCCCCTCTGTCTTGCCGCCGACGCCCCCCCGGGGGCCCGGTTGGCTTCTCCGCCCCGGGCCCCGCGCGCCTTTGTGCAGGCCGGGAGGCCGTGGAGGCCTTGCCCGCTGCCCGTCACCGGGCAGGCTGCTCCCGAGCTCGCCCGCTCCAGAGCTCGCCCGCTCCAGAGCCGCCTTTCCCTGCTTGCTCGGCGGCGGCTGCCGCCGCCGCCTCCCCCTCTGCAAACATCAGGAGGAGGAGGATGAGGGGGAGGAGGAGGAGGAGGAGGAATAATAATAATAACAACAATGAGGAGACTAGTAAGGAGAATAGGAAGAACACTAGTAAGAAGAAAACGACCAATACTAATAATAGTAATACTAATAATACGAATGATAATACTAATAATATGATTAGTAGTCGTAATAATAATAGTAGTAATAATAATACTATTATTATTATTATTATTATTATTATTAATAATAGCAATCATAATAACAATACTAATAGTAATAATAATAGTAATAATAATAGTAGTAATACTAATAATACTACTAATAATAATAACAACAATATTAATAATGATACTACTAATAATATTAATAAAAAATATTAATATTATTATCATTAATAATAGTAATATTGATACTACTAATAATAATAACAATAAAACTAATAACCATAATTATACTAATACTAATAATAATCATAATAATATTAATAATAATAATACTACTAATCATACTACTAATAATAATAATACTGCTAATGATAATCATAATAATATTAATAATACTAATAATTATTGATAATAATAATAGTAATAATAATAATACTAATACTAATAATAATAATACTAATACTAATAATAATATCAATAATCATACTATTAATAAGCATAGGAATCTTACCACGGATACATAATTTGAATAATGCTAATCAGAATTATCATAATAACAGTAATAATAAGAAGAGGAGGAGGGGGAGGAAGAGGAGGAGGAGGAGGAGGAGGAGGAGGAGGAGGAGGAGGAGGAGGAGGAGGAGGAGGAGGAGGAGGAGGAGGAGGACGAGAGGAAGGAGGAGGAGGGGGCGCAATCAGGCGTCCCCGCCGCGGAGTACCCGCCTCCGCTTTTAGGCGGAGTCCCCAGAGGGCTGGACCTGTTCCTCGGGGCTGCCTCGCCATCCCGAGCAGGTTTTTGCTTCCTGACCGTCTGGGGCGCCCGGGGAGGGCTGCCCAGCGGCCGAAAGCTGCGAGAACTTCTGCCTCGGGTTTCTCCAGACGTTGGAGGTCTGGGTTGGTGTGTGAACGGGCCAGGCGCGTTCCTCGCGTTCGGCTGCCTCGGCAGCGCTCGACGCTGCGATCGCCAGCAGCCTCGGCTCTGTGGCCATCTTGCCGGTAGAGGCCGTGAGTCTCCCGTCCGCAGCAGGGTCCAGTTTGATCCGATCGATCCGATTCGATGTCGGCTCTGGCCGCTCCGACTCGATTCGATTCCGATCTTCGGGCGAGCCTATGCGGCCCGATGCTTGCGTGGCGCTATTCTGCATCCTGGCGCCGCTGGTTCGATTCGATTCCGACTCCGAGCCAAAGCGGTCCGATTCGATACGCGTTCCGATCCGATCCGATTTCCTGATTCGATGCTGTCTGCTCCTGCCGCAGCAGAGTTGCGTGTCGGAAGCTGTCATTGCTTGTGACTGCTCTTCCGGGTGCGCGCGCGCCTGCCGCTGCGTCCGCTGAGCGGCGGGCACATCGCTTGCTGGCTGCGGATACCCAGCCTCGGCCGGTTTCCGTGGGGGCGAGCGTGGCGCCCTGAAGTGCAGGCTTGATCAGCGGAGCTCCCCCGTCTCCCTGGTCCAGCCTGGCTTGTCGGCGGTTCTGCGGGCTCTGCCGGTCGGCTGCACTGCCTGGCCTGCCCGCAGCTCCAGAGCAGGCAATGCATCCTCCTTTTCCTCCTCATTCTCCTCGTCGTCCCCTTCCTCCTTCTCCTCCTCCTCCTCCTCGTCCTCGTCCTGATCTCTCTGCTCCTTCCTCCTTCTCCTTCTCCTCCTCCCTCCTCCTTCCTCCTCCTCCTCCTCCTCCTCCTCCTCTGCGCTCTAGTTAGGTCTTGGCGACGCAGCTCGGGGAGGCTTCGTCGAAGCCCGACGGGCTGAAATCCGTGCGTAAGTGCTGGAACGTGGTCGCGCACGCTACGGTGCGCGCGCATGGCTTCGTATTTAGAACGAGGTTCGTCCGTGCTGCCGCTTTGACTCAGGTGGCGTCTTCGACTGGCATTCCGTAGTGGGCTTCGATCACTCACGTCCAAGGCGGCGCGGCGTCGCGCCCCGCGCACCTGGAGACCCTTGGATGATGGTGTCGTAGCAACAGCAGCTGGAGAGAAGAGGTGACGACGACTATGATGATGCTGCGGATGATGGTGATGATGATGAGGATACTTATGATGAGGCTGGTGGTTCTGATTATGAACATGATGAGTCTGATCCGATGATGCCGATGATGCTGCTGCTGCTGACGTCGACGACGGTGATGATGAAGATGATGATGAAGGCGATGATGCTGATGCTGCTGATGATGATGAGGATGATGATGATGGCTATGATGATGCTGATGATGACTATGATGATGATGATGAGGATGCTGATTCTGATTCTGATGATGATGACGATGTCGATGACGATGATGCTGATGATGCTGATGGTGCTGATGATGATTCTGATAATGATGATGATGCTGATCGTGATGCTGATGGTGCTGATGATGATGACGACAACGATGATGATGATGATGAAGATTATGTTCATTGTTATCATGATGCTGACGCCGAGTATGATGACAATTCTGATGGTGATTCTGACGGGTGCGATGCTGTTCATTATGATGACGATGGCGAGGATGATGACGCTGATGATGGTGACGATGATGCCGTTAATGGTGAGTCGATGACGGACACGAACATGAATATGATTTTGAATGCGACTACCAATACGATGACGACGAGACTGATGACGATAGTGCTGATGATTATGCTGATGGTGCTATCTTGGTTGTTGACGATTGCATCCATGATCACGATGCTGACTGTATCATGTTGGTTATACGTTGGTCGTTGCTGTTGATGGTAATGATGATGCTGAGGATGAGGCTGAGGATGATGCTGCTGCTGATGAGGACGATGACGAGGATTCCGATAGTGATGATGATGCGGATGATGATACTGATGATGCTGACGACGACGAGGATGAAAATGATGCTGATGATTGTGGTGATAGTGATGATGTCGATGCTGATGCGGCTGATGATGTTGCTGTTGTTGCTGATACTGATGATGATGATGATGCTGATGTTGATGATGACGATGATGATGGGGATTGGGATGCTGATGCTGATGATGATGAGGATGATGACGATGATGCAGATGATGGTGATGATGGTCGTTGTGGTGGTGGTGATGATGCTGATGATGATGATGAGGGCCATGATGATTCTGATGATGCTGATGCTGATAAGGATGGTGATGATGCTGGTTATGACGATGATGCTGATGATGCTGATGATGCTGCAGGGGATGATGATCATCTCTTTGTTGAGGATGGCGATGACGATGACGACGACGACGACGACGACGACGACGATGATGATGATGATGATGATGATGATGATGATGATGATGAGAAATCTGATGATGATGGTGGTTATGATGATGATCATGATGATGCTGATGATGATGCTGTTTATGAGGATGATGCTGCTGCTGCTGCTGATGATGATGATGATGATGATGAGCATGATGCTGATGATGATGATGATGATGATGATGATGATGATGATGATGATGATGATGATGATGATGATGATAATGTTGTTGATCATGATGGTGGTCGTGGTGGTGGCGTGATGGTGGGGGAGATAAGGATGATGATGCTGTGGACGACGTGGTCGATGCTTCACGCTTCGCGTACCCCCACCAGCCCATTGAGGGCTTCTCTGGGCCATCCGTGGGGCCCGCGTGGGGGCGAGGGAATGAGAGGGAGGAGGAGGAATACGAAGTCGACGACCACGACCACGACGACGGGGAAGAGGATGCACAGGAACAGGAAGACGATGAGGGCAAGGACGAGGACGAGGGACGATAATAGAGTTCTTAAAAACTGCCTCTTGGAGATCCTCTTGGAGCTTCTGTGGGGGGCCTTGGGGCCATCTTAGGGCCCTGCTGGGGCCCTCTTG